GCAGCCAGCCAACCACAAACCCCAGGTCCATGGTTCACCCTCAACACCACGCTCACTGCAGTTTCCAGTAACAGTCTTTATTTCCCTCCCCAAACAGACGCCTCCTATTCTGCCTCCCCACATTCCTTCTCACCCTCCCACCCCAAACACAGACCCCACCACCAACCCTGTCACCCACCACCAATAAAACACCCTCTTCTCCATGCAAACTATGTACATTGTGCTGTGTGCCCTTCCAGGGTGGGGAACAGTGGGGTGGCACCTATGGGGCAGATCCTAGAGACAGGTGCCCAGCACCCCAGCCTCTGGGCACACCACCGCAGGTGTGGATGAACTGCAAGGCCAGAGGACAAGGGGCTCACCCAGGGGCTGTTCTGCTTGCACTGTTGGCTCCTACTCCTCCATCACCAGGCCAAAGCCAGCAGGACCCATGTGCAGTGCTGGCCCTACTGTGGGCAGCTCCCCCTCAGGGGCCACATGGTGCCTGGGCAAGTGGCAGGGGGTGGCCCAGGCAGAGGGGGCAAGCAGGGCCAGAGCCAGGGGCTGGGTAGCAGGTGGCACAAAGATGACAGCCAGGGCCAGGATGGTGTCCAGCACCTAGCAGTCATCCTCCATGGCTCCCTGCTGCTCCTGCACCTCCAGCATCTTTGAGGAGGAAAATGTGCCATTCTTCAAGGGCTAGCAGCCTGTCGCGGAACGCACGATCCCCACGGCCCCTCTCCTGCTCACGTATGATGTCCTGGGCACACCAGGCCCGCTAGTCCGCCAGCTGCTCCTCCACAATGGTGACCAGCTGGTTCAACAGAAGGGTGTGGTCTAGTGTTTGCTGCTGACAGAAGCAGTGCTTGTGGAGGGCACCAGCAAAGGGTGGCAGTGTCCCTGAGAATGCATCCCCAATGACAGTTGGTGCCTCTCCCCTGTATGCAGCTGCTGGACCTGCAAAGCCAGGAGAGAGAGGCTCTTTGTAAGAGTTTGCAACATTTCAGAGATAACATGCAGTATACCAAGGGGCTGTGCACTGCCCAGTCTCAGATTGGGAGCCGTGCCCACACTGGTGCTCAGGGACTATGGTAAGTTGGAGGGGCAGCCCCTGACCCAGGTGGTTACTAGCTGAGCCCTCCGTGCCCACTCCCTCCATGGGGGCAGGCAGCCTGCTTGGGTGTTTGTTACAGGCAGCCTGCCTTCCCGATCCCCTACCCACGGCTGCTCTGAGCCAACTCCCCCACTTCTCCTCCTGCAGGCCAGGCAGTTTGCTCCCATGGCACCAGACCCATGCCAGCCAGGGTTGGGGAGTGAGGGGCTCCATCTGGCTGGGAAACTGAACTGGTGATGCCCCTGCCCTCCCCACAGTGGGCCCCTCTGAAGAGGCAGCCCAAGGGAGGGTCCCCCTGCATGTAGTCTGCACCCCACGTGTCCCTGTTAAGAGTTCCCCAGGTGCACCGCGATGAACTCCTTGAGCACACCAAGGGGAGCACGACACACTATGCCTTGCTGATGATGATTGTCACGGTGCCCCAGGTACATCTGAGAACCTGGCGCAGGGCTCTGAGCTTCAACAGCACCCCAGGCAAGCCCATGCTTCTGCGCCACATGAGCCACCACCTGGAGAAGTATCTGTGCCTCAGCTACGAGTGCCTGAACCCTGCAGCCAAGAAGGAAATTACCGCTGCCATCAACAAGTTTCTCTGATTGTGACAGGCCCCCGGCTGCTCAGTAAAGTTCTGCACTGCCTCCCGCCTCCCTGTGTGTTGTGGAGGGAAACTCCAGGGGAGCAGAGGGAGCTCAGCCAGGCAGGATGGGAAGTGGGGCAGGGACAGAGGAGGGCCTCTCTTCCCCCATGCAGGCCTCCTAGCTCCAGGTATGCAGCCCAGGGCCGAGCTGGAGAGTGGGTGGCAAGTGTCCGCAGCTCCACCTTCCACCCTAGTCCTCGTCTTTATATGGGGCTTACCAGATGGGTGTTGCAGGCATCCCTTGTGGCCTGAGTGTGTCCCTGCAGGTGGCGATGAGATGCAGCTGCTGGAGGTGTCCTGGGGTGCAGAGCCACGGCACCTGGCTAACCGGGCAGTGGCCCCTTCCAGGGAGGAGCTAGAGCTGGTCATGGTTGGTGCCATCCCCAGCCTGTCCTCAGTGGGGCTGCGCACCCACAGTTGGTTTGGCAGTCACTGGTCCGAGCTCCAGGCACTCCTAGACAAGGCCAGGGGCAGGGAGTGCGCCGGAACCTATGCCTGGTGCCCCAAGGGCTCTTCCTTGTAGACAGATCATCACTGCTGGGCCCTCATGGGGGCTCCAGGAGGCTGCCCATGCTGAAGTAAACCACACTGCTGCATCCAGGATCCCAGGGAGCCAGGATTTGGTCCAGCTGCCACATAAAACAGCAAGGTCCTGCAGGCAGCCCCAGACCAGCAGCTGGGGTCCATGACATGGACCCACTCTGCCATTAGGGCCTTTATGCAGCACTGCTGTGCTAACCACTGATGCCTATGCTCCCATATGTGGCCCTCCAGAGCCTCACATATGTGGGCATTGGAGCACCCACCCCAGGCAAACTGGCTCTGCACCTCAGCATTGCCCCACAATGCAATCTGGTCAGCAGTCTCTCCCTGTGACCAGTTGGGGCCCTGTCAGTGTGGCATCAGTGAGAATGTCATCATGGGTCCTTTGACAGACATCAGGGGCTCCACCAGAGACTCTGATACAGCACAGGGACATGGTGCGTGGGAGGCAACCAAGTGGTGGGGCTGGTCCCAGGGGCCACTGTTGAGTTCTGTGGGCCTGCTGTGGCTGCCACAGGTCCACTGCTGCGAGATACAATGCCCAATGGTAAGTATTAGGGGGAAGAGGCCCCAGGGTCAGGCCAGAGGTTTAAAGGCCAGACTGGGACAGGCAAAAAGCGATCCCAGGACTGCGGCTGGAGAATCAAGGTTGCTCCTGATCAGTGTCTACACATACGGTACTACACAGTATCTATGCATTTACAGGTAGTAAACTAACCATGCAATAGACCGGGGGTATGCATAACCCTGGGGGTACGTAGGATGGCCTCAGGAGGTACTCAGTAGCGGGTGCCGCCACCACTTCTGCCACCCAACCACACCTGCCAGCAAGCCCCCCGCCCTGTGCTCATCTACTGGCTGAAGGGGGACTCCTGCCATCTCAACCAGCTGCCAGAAGTACACTAACCTAAGAAAGCTGAAAACCCCTGCAGTAGACTAATTTACTGCACAGTAACTGCCTGCACTTGTAGACAGTGACACTTTACTGTGCAGTAAGTTAGTTTATTGTGCAGTAAAATGCCGCATGTAGCCACGGCCAGTGAGAAGGAAATGAGAAAAAAAGATCTGACTGCAAACTGAAGGTGTGTGGAGAGAGAGGGTGAAGAACAACAAAAGGTTGGAAGTAACAGTAGGAGATGCAGATGTTCTAGACTGCTTCAAGATGAGGGTATATGAGAAAAGAGGGATATTAGAGTATAAGGAACTAGAGGAAATGAAAGAGTTTGAAGCCAAGAATGCAGGAGAGATTTATTTTAAAACGTGCTCTAGGTATTCTAGAGGGAAGCGGCCTTTGACAAGCAAATGCGTCTCATACTATGAAATCAGTTGATTTTACAGCAAGTCTGCTAAAAAGCAAATATTATTTGTAAACTAAAACTTCTGATTTTAAAAAAATATTGTATATAAAATGAGGCTAATGAAGAGGGAAAACATTTTTACACTAATATTAACGTGATTGTTTCAACTAAAATAGATTTGTTTATATAAATTGACTTCCTATGTACTATCCTAGCAATTAAGCAGACCATTTTTCCCCAACAGACCCAGTTGCCCTTCATCCAGGTATAATTAAAATTAACTATCTTAATTAAATTAGTTTCCTCTGGTTGCTAAGTCACCAACTGTGCAAATGAAATTCAATAGGTGTAACCCTATTCCCTAAAGAAACATTTCCTGTGGCTTTGGTAAAAAAACAAAAATTCTAGTCTGTTTTTAAAATGAATGGTTCAGCAATATTGTAAAGAAATAGCAGCTAAAAAAAAAAAAGACTTAAAACTGGTGTGCGTTAAAACAAATAAATTCTTGCTGTCTAGACGTTTTGTTTAGTTATTACTGTCTTTGTTCTTAGCTCAGTAGAAGAAGTTGGTCTGACGAGCTGATAACTAGATTTCATTCTCTCCTCTTTATTTAGCTTTCTGCTCTATTTTTTAGACCCTTGTTACTTTTGGTTCCAGGTATTTCCTTATCCCGCACCCCCACCCCCAGCTCATTCTCTCAGGTCAACAGTGAACTTTAATTGAATGTTTTAAAGAGAAAGTCAATTTAGACTTACTTTTATAAGTAGTATATAAAGATACTAATAAAAGAGCAGAGTGATCTCTCAGGATTTTTGGTTAAGGTGTCTGGTTTTTTTTGTTTGTTTTAATTATGAAGCATTTACAACATATTCTAATTAGCTTCCAGACTACTTCCTTTTGTCTGGGTATCTTTCTGCCCAGCAAGAAAGAAAAGAAAACAATTTTCAAAATTGTCCATAAACATTTGCAAACTACAGGCAAACTAAGCTACAAATGTAGCACCTGAAGCTACATTTAATTTTTTAGTTAACTGTGAAATCTAGCCATAGTTCCATCTCCCCACATTTTAGTCTGTCCCTCTATTTTAGTCTGACTAGTCCCAGTTCTATGCCTAACTTTACTATGAACTATTTTTTTCCAAAAGCTATACAAATACTCAGCAAGTTCTTGCAAAGTGCTAAAGTCCTTATAATATTCTAAAGTTCAGAACTTTTTCCTCCATGGGTAGTAAAAGAAACAGCAAAATTAAAAAAGTCATGAGTTACTTCATTATGATGAAACATAAATTATGTTAAATATCTGAAAGTCATCAGTATTATATGACAACTTAATACACAAATTTATACTAAATGAAAATAAAATCATTGTTAACCCTGTAAGCAGTACTTTGTATACCAACAGGCAGAGAAAACAATCCTTGAAGTGTTACCTCTTTGCAATCTTTTACAATGGGTTGAACCATAGTCAGATCCTGATGACTGCCACCAATTGCACTGCTAGTGCTTTTGTTTCTTGCATGTCCTTTTTTAAAGGGAGCTTTTCCACTAGACTGAAGCTCTTTAGTTGGTGACGTTGGTGAAGTGGACAGTACTAGTGTTTTCAAAGCTGCTACTTCAGCTTGAAGAACATCAATCTTGAAAATGAAAAAAAACCATTAAGACACTTGTAAGCAAGACAATTTATGACATAGATATATTAACTGACAATTTTGCCAGATAGTTAATTTTCAGAGATGGATAATTTATCTTGATTTGTATAAACAGCAGGGATGTGTTCACCTTCATCAATAACAATGCTGTTCTGCTCTGTCCATCAATAGCTATTTAACATTATGACAGAAAAATCTAATTCCATAATGAGAAGATATAAAGAGACAATACCATCAGGATACTGAAGGATAACTCAGTAAGTATTAGCAAAAATGTACACAAAGCAACAACTATTTCTAGGTTTTTAATCTAGGAACAGCTTGGTTTTAAAACGCTGCATAAAACACACAAAAATTAAACCTGAAAAATACCCTCACCTTTCCCTGTGCTTCTTTTAATTGTTTTTCTGCAGTGGCTTGCTTGACATTAGCCTCTCTCACCATTTTGTGCGCTTCCTATAAAATAAATGTTTACATGGTATAAAATTTTCATATGCAATTTAAGTACACATTCCAGTAAAAAAAAAATCTTCAAAGTAAATGACGCAATATCCATGTCCTTATGAAGATTGTGTATGAATAGTAAGATGTGTGATCTTTGCTGGAGTTAATATAAAAGCAGTTAAATAATCAAAAGACCTAGAAACCTATTAACATTGACAGTGGGAGGGGGAAATTAAAAAAACGACTAGATTAGTGGCCTAGCAAACTATTATTTTCAGTCCCAATTGCAAAGATCTAGCCCGAGCCAGCACCATACGTGGCAAGAATTCCAAACTCCAATCAAGCTGTGGTAGTTGCCAATTGAAGGACATTGTTCCTCTGAGAAAAAACACTCAACCAACAACCAGAAGAGCAACATGGGTGCATTTTCAGAACTAGCCCTGGGAAACTATTGATTTGTTCATGAAAACGGCTAGTTGAATTAAATCTAAATCCTTAGAAGCTTAAAAAAAAAAAAAGTAGGCAAACAATTTTTTACAAAAAGATAAGGTTAGGGATTAACACATAATTTGAAAAAATTCAAACTAAAGAGATACTAGGAATAATCCAAGGAAGTAAGCAAAATTTAGCATAATAGTAAGAGAAGCAAATAGAAAAAAATCCTTTCGCTCAGTACCTTCCAATTTTAATCTGTATATTTACATCCTGACTGAGCAACTTACTGCACATGGGCAAACTCTTGGGTCTGCCTGGTACCAACTGCAGTTAATGAAAGCATCAGACCTTAAACTATACATATTCTTTGGGACAGGGATCCATCTTATATCTGTAAAGTGCCTAGCACATATTTGGACGCTATATAAATAAAAGAAAAATGAAGAGATTACTGCATTGAAGAGCTTTGGCTCTCACAGGCTTACAAGATAGCTCTATAATATGGAGTTATAAAATAACCTTAAATCACAACAGGGACATGCAGGAATGAGAACATGCACATTTATACAATGTGTACAGATAGAGTTAACACTGATCATGCAGTTTTAAAGTTGTAATGCATATCTCAAAATGCAAAAGGGTGTCATCACATTATTATACTTTCAGTGTTTGGGGTGTAACATGTTCTGTACAAAGTCCTTGATTCTCCACTGGGATATGCTAGCACAACCCCGCAGGCCCATTTGCAGTCCCACCAAAAATCAATGATATTGTGCATAGGTAAAAGGGTTCAAAACTTTTAGATCCCAATGCAGAATTAGGGCAGCCCAAAGCTGTCAATTACAGCCCAAGGCTGTCAATTATCAGAGAGATAATGAAATCAAATCACAAATGTAAAGCTTAAGTGGCATATTCATAATTTCTGGAGTTTCTGAAAGCTACATTTGTTAAAGGATAGTTTTTAATAGTATTGCATGCATAACACAGCATATGTTTCCACAGTGCTTTGAAATAGCATTAGCTGAACACTGAAGTAAGTTCATTTTTTATGTAAAGTTGTTGTCTGTTTTCTCATTTTTCTTTCCTCTGCTCCCCTGCAACCATTACCCTTTTATCTTACTATGTACCTTTCTAGTCTTCCATTCTTCCTCCTACAGTCAGATGCTTCAGAACATAATTTTTAAAAGCAGTACTGCCCATTCTAGTGAGATGCAGATAACCTGTGCTGACATTCACAGAGAACTCTATTTTTGTTTTCTTTAAACCTTCAGGCTCTGAGGGCACTCCACTCCCAAAAGCTTAAAATAAAATATTCAAAAAAAAAGCACACACAGTTATGGGGGTTTTCTTGATTAATCTGCTTGTAATTTAATGTGGATACTAGAAACCAATATTTATTGTGGTAAGTTCATAAAACATTTCTATATAATAACATTTTGAAGATTGTGTCTGTCAAATTCAGTTTCTAGGTTTGCCATGCATGAGAGCAGTGACAATTAGCCCTAGATTCGGCTTCATCATAAAGCTATACTTATACCTACCTAGGGTTTTCTGAGGGGGAGATTGAAGTCATGATCTTTATAGTTCATGACTATAAAAGGCAGTGATACCACCATAACTTGTACAACCAACTTCCATGTTGATGGGTGACTTACATGCATGTAGATAGCAGTCATGTGTTTATTAGACTTCTTATAAACTTCTGTGCCAGTTGGCCCAAAACCTAAAAGCTGCCAGCATGAAACGTTATGCTGTACTTGAACCATTGATAAGGAGCAGTCATATTTCCCATATTCCTCATTATGGCAGTCTCAAATTTACTACCTTTCTATAAAACAGTGTTGTCAGACAAATAAACTGACTCAAATAGAAGATGGTTATGCAGACAAGCAAGACTATACATTTTAAGCTTTCTGGTCTATTTTTCTTCCTCATTTTGGCTCTAGACAGGTTGACAAGCATAACAAGGTCTCTCATATAAAGTTGCTTGTACTTAAGTCTCCACCTCAACAGACCCCATTCTTAAGAACAAAAATGAATCCCTTTACACACTTTATGCAAAAAATTCAGAATATAACATACTGATTCTACATAACAAAGCTGGCCCAGTCTCCTTTAATTATATCACAGCGAAGACTCAAACAAACCTCAAACAGACTAGCTGTAAGTTCTTCCAATTCCTGTCCAAGTTGATCTCGCACTTTAGAAAGCCTTTCACATTCTTCATCTTTTAACTTCAGCTCCTATGGAAAATTGAAAGTTATTTATTCTGACTTAATGTAATAATTTGTGGCCTTTGAAAGCTAGTACCAGAGGGAAATCAGAAAAACAGATAACCTTTGCTATATAAAACCTTTCAAAACATTAATCTTAACACTAAAAGCAATATTAGTGTTGTACATGTACAGCTAGTTCTTTCTGCTATATGAAAACTTGACACACTAAGCTAAAGTGCAATCAAACTAAAAATCTCTTTCCAAAATTCTCTGAAATACAAAGCGCTTCTTTCTTGAAATACAGAAGTCTAAATTAATTAAAACACAACATGAAAGCCAAAAGGAGAAAATAAAATTATGTTAAATACTGCAATTTTAATAACTATTCCATTACTACTTGATGTGTTCGTTCCTTAATATGCACCTTTAAGTAGACACATTTAAAGAAATGTTTTCCCTCTACATCTTAAATAAAAAAAATTTCCATGAAGACCACTCCCAGGTTTCATAGTGTTAATATATTAAGTAGAAAGTTTTACTTCCTAAACAGCAAAGCCCTAATTTCAAAATGACATTTCTGCTCCCTCTGTAAGCAATGATATGTAGTGAATCAAATCAGTGAAAACAGGGGTATCAAATATAGGACCTAAGGAACCATTTCATATAGCCCACCAGGAATCTAGCAGGCTCCTGTAGGTGAGGGGCATGCCCTGCCACACAATTCAGGGTCCTTCGACCCTCCCTGATGGACACAGCCATCAGCAGCAGGCCCCTATCCCCACACTGCCACCCAACACTGGCCCTAAGACAGCTGCTCCTGGCCCTGTGGATCTGGAGGATTCCCCCCCCACTCCAGAATGGCTTGGGGACCAGGGTGAGTTTCACTCCCCTAAGTTAAAACGTTCTATAGTTGTGGTACCAACATTCACTGGCCCATGGCTAAGTAATGTTCTACAGGAGATATGCTTCATCTCTCTTTCAACCTGAAGAAATGTGTCTACGGAAAGCAAGATTTCTTGTAGCTTTGAATAACATTAGAGGGCCTTGCAAGGAACATTACCTATGAACCACAGGTTGAGAACCACAGGTCTGCAATACCACAGAAGTGTGGTTAGGGAGGCAAAAATCTCATTTACATTAAGCAATGACAGGTTAGAAGAAAACAATACACCCCAGTGAGACCCTTTAATGTTCTTCTCATCCTAGTTCTTCTTCAGACTAGCTCTTACCTACCAGACACAAACTGAACTAATAAATTAATTAACCAACTAATTTGATGCTCCTGGCACTCAGCCCTGTCAAGCTAACACATTGTCCTGGCTCAAAACCACCAACATTCTATTAACTCCTTCCAATCCAAGCCTCACCAGCTAAGAAGCAACCCTTCAACCAAGAAGCACCCAGGACAACACACAAACACCAACAAACTTTCCCTATGCCTGAAGAAGGGCTTTTGTGCCTGAAAGCTTGCAAAGAACAATTTTTCCAACTATTTAGTTGGTCTAATAAAAGATATCACATCTACCCAAAGAACCTTGTCTGCCTAAACCCTTCACCAATGTATCTACCTCCAAAGGCTGAAGCCCCTCAAGAGCTCTCACCTCTCCACCACCTTGGTTTTAACCTCTTTTATCAATGTACTAGGCTCAGAACTCTTTTCTCCTTATGTTCATGGCAATGCTAGGCTCAGAGATCTCCCTAGTCCTACATGCAAAAAAGAAGAAAGGAAAAGGCAGCAGAAAGCAAGTACACACAAAACCTGAAACAGGTCTGATAATCATATTCCCTAACCACAAGCAGCAGGAGGAAGAGGATACACAAGTCTGCACGCTATAAAACAAAGTTTTCTGTAGTAGCCTTATTTCCCGAAATCATCAGATGCAACAACAAAAGCCTCCCAATAGTAGCAACTAGCATGGCATAATGAAGTACATCATGCTGCAGCTTATATCAGTGTTTCTCAACCCTTTTAGACTCAAGGCACACTCAGCTCTTATTTTTCACTCGTTTTTTTATTATGAAAAAAAAAAACTTTTTTATTGCCGAGAATTGAAAAGATAATAAGATAAAGATAACAGGTCAGAAAGGCTTTTTTGGTTTTGGTTTTTGCTTGTTTGTTGTTTTTGTAAATCCTACAGGTTCTTATTTGAAATCACTAGGTTGATGTTGTGAATCATGTCTGTACACCTAACATTGTGAACCATCTCACAGTACCCCTGAAATGATCTCAAGGTACCCCAATTAAGAATCACTAGTTTAAATCCATCAACTACTAAATACAGACAACTGCTTATAATCAGGCAGGAAAACCATGAAAAAATAGCACCACTGAATACATAGAAATAAGCTTTTATCTAGCTATTTAAAATGAAGCTTTTGGATCCATAACTGTTTCTAGGTTACGATAACCTTTGGTATCCTTCTGGTGAAGCTAGGATACTCCAATATATTAAGTTTTGCCTTGAAGATCACAAAAACCATTCAACTGGTACAGAATGCAACTGCACACTCCTCCATGAGGAGGAGGAAACTCGCTACAAGACAAAGACAATGGCCCACATATCTGCCAAAAGATAATCAGAATAGGTTGGTTCCTATCCACATAATTCAGCTGGTGCAATTCAAGTGTTCCTAACCTGGAGCAGTCCTATGAGAAACTACAACCTGCCCAGTGGGATCATGTTGAGATTAACTTTTGGTCCCCAATACTAAAATGAAACTTGCAACAATGTTTTCTTTGATGAGGGATCCCACTGTTAACTATTGAAGACATCCAACAAACCTAAGAACACAGCTCTAGGAAACAGTTACTTTTTTCTTTAGTTTGGAGTTTAAATTTTTATTTTGAATTTGGCTTGGTACTGGATGTTTTGCTTTCCATCTGATGCCTTTTAACTCTTTTGAAATATGGCTTTGGTTTTTAATGGCTGTACCCTGAATGCGTAAGATATTTCAAAGTGCACTCCTTCCATCTTACTGTCTACTGTCCCACACATAAGAAGCTACCTCTCCCAAAGAGAAAGTTCAAAAAACATAGAATGGATTACAAGGAGGGAGATGGATGCAAACCTAGGACAGAGAAGAAAAGCAGAGACAGAAGAGGACAGGACAAATCATTGAAACAGAAATAATCAAGTAAGAGAAAGGAATTAAAACAGAAAAAAAAACCAACCCCAAAACAAAGAGAAGACAACACTGAATGTCAGCAAGGTTAAAATTGGATTCATGGTTATTCTGTGAATGACTGAATGTCTCAAGCAAAATATGGTAGTTTAGAAGGGGAAGTCTTTGATCAAATACAGGGACGGGCAATTATTTCAGGCGAAGGGCCACTTACCAAGTTTTGGCAAGCTGTCAAGGGCTGCATGGGTAGCCCCACGCCTTGATAGGTGCCCTGCCCCCTGGTTGCCATCTTGTGACTAGAAGTCGCACCCCCTAACCCCTGACCTTTGCCACCAGAAGTCCCTCCACTTGCCCCCAGAAGTACTCAGGGGTTTTGCCATCTCAGAAGCAGAAAAATAGCACATTATCTTCTAAAAAGTGAACAATTACAACATTCATTAATTGATTTAAAAGAATATTTTTGTTCTGGTTTACACGCGTTTGTGTAGTGTACGTAGAGGTGATAGTATAATAGCTTAAAATGAAGTCTTACTCTTGTATATCGTGGGGAGGTGGGAGGCATTGGGGGGGAATAGGTCTGTGGATGTGTGGGGGGTCTGTGTAGGGGGAAGGGTTGCTGGGGTGTGTGGGTCTGCATGTATGGCAGTATAAGGGGGGCTGTGGGTGCATGTGTATGGTGGGGGTATGTGTGTGGGATTCACCCTACGAGCACAGACGCACACAGACACCTTGGGGTACCGGCGCAGCCCGTGCTCCCCGGTCCGGCAATGTAGCCAGGTGGTGCTAGAACAGTGCAGGGGCAGGAAGGCAAGGAAATAGCTGGGGTGAGGTGAGGGATGGGCTGCTTGGTCCTGCTGGCTCCCCCTGGGTCTTACCGCCCCTGGCTCCTGTCATCTTTGACAGGCAGCCAGAAGCAGATAAATATATTCTAAATTTTTTAGGGGCCCCGCAGGCTAGACAGAACGGCCTGGCAGACCGGACCTGGCCTGTGGGCTGTATCTTGCCTGCCCCTGATCTAATAGTTGTTGATGTTCAATAGTTTGGGTTTCAGTGCCTTTAGCAAAGTAAAGGAGACACCTGCTTAAGGTACCACACCCTTGGGTTAGAGTTACCACTGCCTACATCTGAAGCTGTCACTAAATATTTCTCAGCTATGCTCACAGCTGTGAGTACTGAGGGGAAAAAAAGACATCTGGGCACAGACTGCAGCAAACTGTTCATTTTCGTGCTGTGACACTTCATATCTGATGACTTAAAAATATTAAGCTGGGTGGAGAAACTCAGCTATTTTAAACCCATATCCCACCCAATTTTTTTAACCTGAATGGGGTGGGGGATGGCAGGAAATCAAAACATACTCTCCTTGTGCAGATAAAAGCAATATCACTACTGTTCATTACCTCACTTGATCCTCTTGAACAGAGTTAAGAATTTGGACATGAAGAAAGAATCAGAAGGAAGAAGAGGGCTACAAGTGAAGGCTTCAAAGAAGTCCATATACTCAGGCCTACAGATCAAACACTGAAATCTAGTTCAGTAATGTAAGCAAGTAAAACCTGGAAGTGGAGAATAAGAAAAAGCAACTGACAGATCACTTAAAAAGGTAAAATGTTGGTCATCTGCAAGGTTCTTTAGCACTCTGCAGTATTTCAAGGATTTTTAGCTACAAAAAAGGTGTATATACTGACTAGAGCACATAAAAACAGCTTGGCCTCATTCGTCAGGAGCCATCAGTTTTAGAAATCAGTTTAACTACAATGAGAGGCAAGGATTTTTTGGGAGTGATATGTTTTATTCATTTATTGTCAGGTCTGATGAAGACGTGACAAAGAATGTCTTGCATTCAAAACCTTGTCTAACTTATCTTAACCATGAATTTGGTCCACTAAAAGATATCACTCAAA